CTGCTGTTCTCTTTATTTTCTTTTATGTAGAACTGTGATTAGACATAGGAAAAAATAACAAACATTCTAGTTCTATAACAAATTAATGTTGTTTAGTATGTAAGTTCAAGAAAAATAGAATTTCTCAATTGAAACAGAAACAAGCCATGAAAAAAATCTGAAGTAGAAATGCTAAAATGATTTTACTTTCTTTTGCTGTCAGCATTGTTCCAATTTTTCTTAATAAATGCAGATATAATACTCACCTATTTGTATGCAGCCACATTATCCAGGGCCTGATATAAATTAATCCTTTTGAAACTGGATTTAAATACAATGTCATTTCAATTTTCAAAACTTTTTCTAAATTCTAAAGCCCAAGCGTCTTTTTCTCTGAACCATTCTGATCCATATACCTACCTAATTCCTAAAACTGGAAAATTAGGGAAACTTTTTGCAACAAAACTTATAAAAAGTAATTCTTACATCTGTTTCTTTGGAGTCTCATGTTCCTGATGACTTTTTCCTTCTAAAATGATTTGCCAACCTTGGAACTTCTCAGTGTTTTCCTGACTCACAGTATATTTACAGTGTGTGCCTCAGGAAGAAATATACAGCAACTATTTCCTTCAGTACTAGAAAAAAGAACAGAAAACTTAGGGAATAAAAACACATGAAGAGCAAGTCTCCAATTAAACTACCTGAAAACAATGGGTTTTGGCTCATTAACTAAAAGCCTATTCTATCCAACGTATGTTCTTAAATTAATAGAATTGTTTTAAGCTAGTGGAGGAAAGAAATTTAACCTCTGTTCCATGAATTCAGAGACTGCTTTATATGAATGTATAAAGATTTAACACTGTGTTAATGTTAGAACTAATAGTGAGTATAAGCGCTTAACTAAAAGAAGACATTTTAGGGATTACTTGTTGACATTCCTAATTATAAGAATATCGTAGGCATTGAAATGATACACTGTGGGGATATTCATACTAGAGCACTGAAGGCTATATAGATTTCCATACCACAAAATAAAATAGCTAAATCGATGGTTTCCGGGGCATACTTCAGGATAAAGCCACAGCTCTCCTTGGCAACATTCAACGAATCATGAAGTTTCACACTGCTGTTGATGTTAAGGAAAATGACAGAACCAAAGTCTAAGGAGGAAAGAACCAAAAGAGAAAAGAAGTCCTCCAAATAACAAAAAATAACAGGAATGAGGAAGCGAAAGATTAAGGAAGGAAATTGAAGAAACTATGTTCTAAAATATATCTTTTCTCTCTGGCAGAATTCTATTTTAACACGTAGAGCAGATCTGTGATTTGGTTAAGTAGCACTATTCATTAAGTCGAGCTAGATATTTACATAGTAAGTCAGAATACGTGAAATGTTGAAGATCTGATTATAATTCACCTGCTTACAAAATCTCGACGTTCCTGTTTGCCTACAAAGTAGGTCCAGCATCCCAGTAGACCTTCCGGGCCCATCACAATCTGACCTCAGCATCCTTTTCCAGCACATCTCCTGCCAAACACTGCAGACTCACAGGCTGCTTGCCAAACGTCTTCACACCTCCCGCAATTTCTCCTGGCTGGGATGCCGTCTGGCGCCCTGACCGCTATCCCTTCGTCATCCAACATTCACCTTCTAGAGCCTAGTCAAATGTCTTTTCTTTCATAAAATCTATCTTCATTTCCCCAGGCTTATTAGTCACTCCTTCTCACACTTCAGCATTACCATTCTCGTATATTTTATAGCTTTTTATATTCTTAACACGCAGCACGGTGCCTAGCACATAAGAGGTGCTCTATATATCTTTGCTGTTGAAGGAGGATAGAACTATAAAACTTCACAATTATGTTAGAATCATGAGGCTGGATTCTAGAACCATCTGTAGATTCCCAGTTGTATTGGCCACTCAAAAAGTTCGTATGAAACAACAGTTAACATCCTGAAAATGGTGTATAACAAGCAGCAGGATACATGGAGTTTTGTTGGGGATTTATAAAAGCTGAAAAATAGGGGAAAAATTTTAAATGAAGGAAAAAACACACCAGGTTATTTACCATGAGGCCAGGGCAAGCAACGGCCAAGCACAAAATTGCCAGACCAACCTGAGTAGTAGTTGGGTTGGGTGTAGGATGAGGAGGGTGTGGGCTGGAATTTCAGTCAGGCATGGGAGTTACCGTCTCAGGGATAAAATTGCTTCATTTCTGGCTCAGGAATTCAAAAACTATTGTCTTAGTCCATTCAGACTTCTATAACAAAAATACCATGGGCTGGGTGGGTTAAACAACAGGAGTTTCTTTCTCACAGTTCTAGAGTCTGGGAGTCCAGGATCAGGGTGCCAGCAAGGTGGAGTTCTGGTGAGGGCTCTCTTCTAGGTTGCAGATGACTGACTTCTCATTGTATTCTCACATGGCAGAAAAAGAAAGTGACTAATCTCATTCAGGAGGGCTCTACCCTCATGACCTAATTACCTCCCAAAGGCCCAATCTCTTAATCCCATTAGGGGTTAGGATTCAACATCTGGATTTGGGGGTCACAAATATTCAATTCATAACTATCATCTGTGAGTATTAGAAAAGAGTCTTCAAATCATCATACTGCTGAGAATGTTGAGAGATTTTCATAGCATTCGTATCTGAACAAGATGTGATGTTCCAAGATGTTTCCTGATGCAAATGAAAGCTCCTTGAGGACACAGACACACGATTAGTAATCTGGCACCTGGCACATATAAGGATTTGATAAATACATGAGGAATGATAAATAATATAAGATGACAATTAATATCAATTTCACAGCATTACTGTTTCAAACACAAAGTGCTCTTATACAGGAAAAAGGACAGATTGATTCTTCTCACAAGCATTTCTATTACAGACCAAATAAAATAAAATTGGGGGTGAACTGAAATAAAAATAAACACAATAATTTTATAGAAATAATGGCTATTATCTGTTGATTGCTTCTATGTACCAGGTACTATAGCATTTACTTTGTTATCTTATTTAATCATGAATACTATTAACACCATCATTTTTTTGATGAAGAAAATGAAGTTTGATGAACAAAATTAAGTAAACTTGGGGCCAGCCTGGTGGCGTAGTGGTTAAGTTCGTGTGCTCAGCTTCAGTGGCCCATGGTTCGTGGGCTCATATCCTGGACTCGAACCTACACACCACTCATCAAGCCATGCTGTGGTGGCATCCCACATACAAAATAGAGGGAGATTGGCACAGATGTTAGCTCAGGGCCAATCTTCCTCACCAAAAAAAGAAAGAAAGACATTAAGTAAACTTGTACAGAGCAAGTATATGATGGAGTGGATATTTAAACCCAGGTTTTTTACAGAGTAGAACTCACATTCTTAACCACAACACCCCCCTAGACCTTCTGAATACTGCCACACATTTATCTATAATTAACAGTGCAAGCTAATGCATGGATTGAGTAAAGTACTTCTAACTGAATCTATCATTTTGTTCTTTTTCCTGTTAGTAATGTCTTCCTACAACCATGGACTTATCTTAGAATGTTGTTCTACTATGAAACAAAAAGAGGTAAACAGTTAATGATTGAGGATACTCTACCATCTGTGTCACTGCCTTAAAGTTACTTCACTGCTGTTACCTACAGACATGATATCTCAGACTGTGAAACGTTAATGACAGAGCTATCATGCAGATACCACAGAGGACATTCGATATCACTTGATGTTAAAGATACCATTTTTATGCTTGATTGAAATTCCAGTATTAACAGAGAGTGAGGAAATATTTTACCTTAGCATCTCCCTTTCCTTCTCTTGAAAGTTTTCAAGCATTGCAATTATATTGAATTTTATTTCAGTTTTCTCCTTTACTAGTTGCTAAATTTCCTGAGGTTTGGGCTATATTTTTGCATTTTTGTGTCTCCAGCATTTAACACACTCTGTAGCATATTAACCAACATTAATACATGTTTAATAAATAGATAAATCATGCAATTTAAATCCCACTTTGGCATAGTACTATGTTTTTCTGACCTCTATGTATTGGAGACAGTTAGATAGATATCAGAATTGAGGAATAAATGAAGCAAAACCATGCTGGTACTCTAACATGAGTCCTGAAACAGGGACAGATCATCCTTCAGACTCCAAGTATCAGCCCTGCATGAGAGAGGCCTCGAGCTGACAAGAAGCCTGGTACATCGGCAATAGTAGTCTACCGCGCACATCACACAGAAACCAGAGATGGTATGTTGAGCGACGCTAACAAGCCAAAGGACACTGAACAAGCATGAAGAATATCCTGTGGGCGGTGAGAAACCTCCTTGGAGAAAGGCTACTTTTGCTTTTGAACACTGGTTAATAAAGCTGCCACTTATGCTGCCCAAGTCACTGTACTTTGAGGAGAAAGGAATTGAGGCAATTGACACAAGTTAATGATTGTGAGGGCTTTTAATGACTTTCAAATTATTCAGTAGAACATTTCACATGAATTATTACTGTATCTGCAACTCATAATCTCAAAGTTACTGATATTCATGCTTTTACACTTAGCAACTTAACATTTTTGTGTTGTTACACAGAATTTTCATCATGAAAGCAGTTAAGTGTATAATATACATAAAATTAGTATAGAGGTAGCCAAGGTATTAACTAAGATATTGTTCTGTGACTGCTATTGTTGTTTTAATAACCTTCATGTTCCAGGGTGACGTCTCCTTGAGAGTATGATAGAATACAGTGCATGTGATGCTCACAGGGAGGTGACAAGGTTAGGAATCCAATTATCTACAAGCTTTACTATCTATTACACCAAAAAGACATTAACCTCAGAATTCCATTCTATTTTATTGCTTTACTTCTCAATTAATAATAGTTTGTAGGCATTATTTCAGCATACCTATGAGAGAATAGACTTCTCATTTGAAGATTCCTAAGTTTTACTATGTTATTAAAAAGCAGCATTTGTTTCTATATAACCATGACCAGACTGGACTCTATTCAACCATATTCCTTACACATAATACAGTCTTGATACAGTAGCAGATGGAAAGCCCTGATACCAAGATTTCCTTTTCTTTTTTTCTTTATTTTTTGAAGAATATTAGTCCTGAGCTAACTACTGCGAGTCCTCCTCTTTTTTTTGCTGAGGAAGCCTGGCCCTGAGCTAACATCCGTGCCCGTCTTCCTCTACTTTCTATGTGGAACGCCTACCACAGCATGGCGTGCCAAGCGGTGCCATGTCCGCACCTGGGATCCGAACCAGCGAACCCCAGGCCTCTGAGAAGCTGAATGTGTGAACTTAACTGCTGTGCCACCCGGCCGGCCCCCTAGATTTCCATTTCTTTAAAACTAACTCTCAGGAAATGATTTAGGTCCTAGGTCTGACTAATTTATATAATGTATATTTATAATATGTCAATATAAATATAACCAATATGGAAATGAAAGAAGATTCAGACAGTTGAATCCCCCATAGCCTGGCTATGTAGTTCTATAAGTATAGGGAATTCATTAAACTGCAATTCACAGGACTTTTTCATAATATCTTGTCTGTTTTTGTTTTTGTTTTCTTGTGAAGCAAGGTCTTACCAAATGCTTGAGTCATAGTCTGTTTTGTTGCAGTCATATGGGTGTTACTGTGAAGGAGAAAAACTAATGACTACAGCGGGAAAAAGAATTGATGTGTCATGGATTATGGCCCTGGTTACACTTCTACTTTAACCGTACTCATGTGTTCAAACAAAAAAGTTCTGCATTTGAATGTCCACAATCGTCTGCATATTATAAACATCTCCTCTTTCACGCAGGCTCAGCCAACACTCGCATTTGTTGACATTCATCATCAAGGAATAAAGTCTTATAAACAAATAATTATCCTTCATAAGAGAATAGAAACAGAACCCTGATTCATAAACACTCATTAACACTTCCAGTTGCAATTATTAACCAACATTTTTGTTTAATCTTAAAATAAGTAAAACTTTATGACATGCTAATCATTTATTTAAAACTTTCTCCCTTATCTCTCAAAGGCTTATCTTCTCCTAGTGTTTGCCCTGGGTGGCTGATACTATTGATTTTGCCTTTAACAAATGTTTGTATTCCTCACCTGTGGCATTCCAATATAGCCATGAAGTATACATTACATCTCTTTTCCTAGATCGTATTCTAGTCCATGTAATCTCCTCCTCCATGTTTTTTTTCTCATAGAGGGATTTCTAAGATTTAGGATTCGCTTTAATGTACAGCATATTCTTTGACTTTGGTTTTCCTATTGAAACCATGTATTTTCATAGAAAACACATTAGTAACTCTACCTTTCTATGTCCTACATCTGGATTGCAGCCTCCTTCTGAGCGGGCACCATAATTACTTCATTCCCTGGACTTTATCAGAATTCATGAGCAAGCAGAACTGTTAAGTGCAGCCCTCCCAGCAATAAGTCAAACAGGATAATCAGCAAGAATTTTCAGAGGAAGTCAGAGTGTTTTTCTCATTCTCTAATAACGATAGCTTATTTATCCTTATTGTTGGCTACATCTGAATATTTTTAAGAAGTCACATTTTGACTGCTGTGTCACTAAAACCAGAATAGCCTGGGATTTTAAGGTATAAATTTACCTTAGTAGCTTTGCCTGAAAAGATGAACAGAGAAGATTGATTAATGAGTCTAATAATCTAGACTTAAGAATATTCAATTCCAAGCTAATTTTCACAAGGTCTTTGTTTACCTAATTTACCAGGTGGAGAACACATTCAATTGATTATCTGAATTTTAAGCTTTTCTCAGTGGTTTTTTGCCTCATTAATTCAACATATATTACACAAATAGACATTATGCTGGATGCTGAGGATACATTAGGCAAGACAGAAATCCTTGTCTCAGTTGAGTTTGTAGTCCAGAGAAGGAGTTAAATAAATAAGAAATTACTAAGCAGTATAGTTATTTATTCATGATTTATTAGCCACTGTGCTAGGTGTTAGGTATACAGCAGTGAGCAAGACAGGCCTCTGCTCTAGTAGAGAGTACATTTTAAGTCCTAAGTTAGCATCAAGCATCAGATTGTATCACACGGGGATACTTACACCAGTCTTTAGGGGATAAGAAAGTCATTCCGGAGGCAGTGACAGCCTAGCTGCAGCCCAAAAGGAAAATACTTAACCAGACAAAGAGCGAGGAAAGGCAAAGTGTTCTGGTGCTTGTCTCCCAAAAGTCAGAGAGATCATCC